AAAAAAAAAACTTATATTAACTAATTTAGAACTATTATTACATTAAATTTACAAATTTTGCTAATTCACTAATATAGAAACTATAAATAGAATATAAAATTAATGAAATGAGTTGAAAATTATTATTTTCAAATATTAAGAAAATTATTAAAAAAATCAAATGAATGGAAAAAATTGAGATTAGAGAAAGAATTTAGAATTGGATGTAAGAAAATAAAAAATAAACAATAGATAATTCCAATATTAAGGAAAATAAAGCAATAAAAGAATAATGAACTATGAAAATTTAAGAGAATTTTGATTGAGAATAAGAGAAGAGTTATAATATAAAGAAGAGTTATAATTATAATTGGTTGTGAAATAAAAAAATAACTCAACATTATTCTATACATGGTTTTCTTTCATTTATTAGTGTTTTAAATTGTTCTCTTATTAATAGAAAAAAACAACTATTATTTTTGAATAATTAAGTTAAATTACAGTAAATAAATAAATAACATGATTAAAAAATAGAATAAAAATGTTATTTACCAAAAAATAAATAAAAAATCACCTATCATATAAAATCTTATCCGTGACACTTCTTTTTTATACACTTTGAAAGTTTTTTTTTTTTTTTTATAAATCACTATTCATGTAAACCATTTTTCTATATTAAATTAACGTTTTTTTTTTTTTTTATAAATCAACTATTCATGTACCATTTTTTATATAAATTAAGTAAAAAAAAATGTGTATTTATTTTCACCACTTTTTATAATTTACATACCATTGTACTTCTCTTCACCATAAATCAAGTGATATAAATTTTTTTATAAAAATTTTAAGCTACAATTTTTTTGTGCATCCAGTTCGAACCTGACCGGAGCCGCCGGTTTCGGGCCGGTTCCGATTCATATTTTAACATTCACATGAACCTTAACCGGTATTTGAACCGCCGGTTCCAGTTCAAAATTATGAACTGCCGGTTCTGGTCAAGTATCGGTTCATCTACAGTACGGTTCGGTTCGGGTTAGAACCGAACCCCATGCCTAAACCAATCGTTCCGGTTGACGCTGAAGCTGACTTTTGAAATATGCTTGATCTTGTAACTCTCTTCACTCAGTAATCGCCTTCCAAGGTCGATATGTGTACCACACAAATTCAACACCTGAAGACTAGAAATATTCTGTAAGCCTTCTGGAAGAAACCTCAAGTTTGGACAAAACGAAAATTCAAGATGCCTTAAACTAGGAAAAGCTCCACGGCCTATCTCTGTCCACTCCACTAGGATATCCTCCTGAGAGAAAGCAAGTATTTCAAGCTTTGGAAACCCACCTGTGTCACAGAACTCTTTACCGATGCAGCGTACTTTATAAGCACGATCTATACGAAGAATCTTTAATTTGGGAAGAAATTGAAGTGTAGGGGCTGGAGGCTCTAATAGATTGGAATACCTTAAATGTAACACAGTGAGGTTTTCCATGGAGGCAAGCCAAGCAGGCATTTCAACAAGGGCACCACACAACAAGGGCACCATATAACCTACAGATGTTTTAATAAGAAGATGGGGGGAAAATGATTCCAAATCTTAGAACAGATGAATTAGGAGTAGAATTCATTTCTGCTTGAGTGACCAAGGAGACCAAGATTTTCCAAAATGATTCCAAATCTAGAACAGATGAATTAAGGGAGTAGAATTCATCTGCTTTGAGTGACAAGGAGACAAGATTTTCCATCTTCGTGATGGCTGCAAATAGTTGGGTGGAATTATCTTCAGACACACAGTTAACACTGAGTTGTTGCAGTTGGGTTAACGAGCTTAGTTCACTGGCAATGGCGCCTCCAGCATATACTTCACCTAAAGTAAGAAGACTTTTCAATGTTCCAATTCCACTTGGAACTCTAATTCCCTGAAAAGGGAACGGGCTGAGTATATCCAAAGTTTGTAGGTTTTGAAGGTTGCTGAGTATATCCAAAGTTTGTAGGTTTTGAAGGTTGCCTAATGTCTGTGGAAGTTCATCCTTCCAAAACAATTTCGAGCTCAAATATCTCAGGTGAAACAAGTCACCCACTTCGTCAGGTAATCTCTCCGCAGAGCTGCCACCCAAACGTAACACCAATAAATATTGCAACTTGCAAATAGTTTCCATATAGGCCCGAGATAAAACAGATCCGAATGAAGTCAAAAATAGAGAACGAAATTGAAGGGTTTTGAAATCAGGAGGAATATTGTTCTTGTGATGATGTATTATAGCTCGTACAGGTAAATTCGCAGCTTCAGCCAAAAATTCCACTTCATCCACCTCGACAACGCATAAATTTACATATGATTCATTAAAGTAAATACTAGGCCCATATCCATCTGTGTATGTTTGTATCAGCAGTCCTAGATGAATTAACTCGTCGATAACGTTATTTGCTAGATTATCTATGAGTTCCCCTTCTTTCTCTGGTATCAGATCTTCAGCTGATAAAAGCCGAGCCATATCAGCCTTCGTAAAAGGAAAACGATATCGTTCTCTATGAACGATAGCCCAATAGTCTAAGCAGGACATGAGATAATGAGGAAGACTTTGATTTTTTGAAGCGAAATCAGCTAAAGAAGAAGAACAACTCTCACCTATTTTGTTTAGTGCTGTAGAAGATAAGCTATCCTTTCTTCTTTGCATCTCCGCAAAATACATTTCTTTTCGATCATTTGATCTACGAGTGAAGCAGATCTGAGGCATATTTTTGGATGCGTGAAGGAACCAGAAAAGATAAGGGAAAAGATATGAAAATCGAGAAGTTTACAAAAGTTAACCTTAAAAGATATGAAAACATTTATTGTCTTTCCAATGCAATATTTAACTTTGCTATAATATTTTTTTTTCAAATTTTACATTTGTAAAAAATAATTTTCCATAAAAAAATTGAATTTCAATAACTAAATCCTACGTAATTGCTGAATTTTCATTTTTTTTCCCCAGATAAAATAGATTTTCTTTTTCAATGGATTGAGATAAATCACACATCTTCATGAATTTTCAATATTTATAAAACCTTTTTTCCTAATATAGATGGTCTTTTAGTTTGACTTCTAATTTAGTTAAATTTATCTTTTAAGTTAAAAGTTATAAGTAAAACTTCTAATTTAGTTAAATTTATTCTTTTTAGTGGTCTTTTAGTTTGACTTCTAATTTAGTTAAATTTATCTTTTAAGTTAAAAGTTATAAGTAAATTAGTGTTTGATTTAAAATCCAATAGAACCAAAAAGTTGGTGGTGTCCAAATATAACTCGAGGTTTTAATATTCAACAATGTTTTATTTTTTTATGATTCGGTGTCCGTAGCTCATTGACTCGATTAGTTTGAATTCACATTAGGCAGACATATAAAATGAGTTTGAATTCGAAATATCTGATTAAAAGAAAAAGAATCTATACTATCTCATCTCACCCTAAGGGTGGCCATATTACGGTTTTCGGAACCGGAACCATCGGTTCGAACCGGTCCCGAACCGTAACTAGAACCGGAGGGAACCGGAACCGGAGATTTCCGATTCAGATCCGGTTCTAGATTTGTGGAACCGCAAACCGGCGGTTCCACAAAACCGGTCAGAATCGGATTAGAACCGGATTGGAACCGCCGGTTCTTCGGCCGGTTAGAACCGCCGGTTCTAGCCAAATTGTCAATTTTTTTTTTTTTTTAAATTTTGTTGTGATTTTCTTTACACTATCAAGAAAATCAAATAGTCATAGGCTTCCCCTTCAAACCCACCACCGAACTAAGAGGTAAAGTCTTTTTCTTTTTTACCTCCACGTCTTTTGCTTCTTCTTCTTCTTTATTTTTTTTCTTCTTCTTTATTTTATTTTTATCCAAATTGTATTCAAGTGCTAATGGTGGATCATTTTTTTATTTTCTTGTTAATTCCTTTTTCCCTAATGGGTTGGGTTGGGTTTGCGTTCTTTGTTTGCTTGTTCAAAGTCTTTAAAAAAATAAATTTAATTGAAGCATTTTTTATATTTTTTAGGTGTATTGTTTTTAGAAATTTAATTCACAAATTTAATTAAATTTTGGAAAAATCCGGGACTTCAAAATTTAAAATTTAAAAAAATTTAAAATTTAAAATTATGCGATTGCCGGAAAACCGGTCGGAAAACCGATCGGAACCGTCGGTTTTGAAAACGTATCGGAACCGGAACCGTTCGGTTCCAAACCGGAATTGGAATCGGAAATTTTTGGTTCGGTTCCGGTTCCAATTTTTTTGGAACCGGAACCGCCGGTTCCGGAACCGTGGCCACCCCTATCTCACCCCATCGAAAATATTTAACTGTATTTTTTGAATATTATTTTGGATCACGTGAAAATACCATATTATGTATCTTAACATTCATAAGACAAACGGTTTATTTGTTTATTAAAAATAATAATCACTTTGTACAATTTACCGTTAAAAAGAGAAGGGTTGAGTGGTCCATTAAAATAAAGGTGGACTCTATCATCAATAATTGCAGACAAAACAGACAAAAGCCGTTGCTTCTCTTGATTAACTAGCTTCTTGGCATTTCTTGTTTTTGTAACAGAAAGACAAATATTTTCTTGTTCCTGTGGTTAATATTAAGTACATAAGTAGGTTTATTAAGGTGTGGGAAGAGTTGCAGATTGAGATTAATTCTTGTGATTATGCTTTTTAAATCACTATTAAACACACTGTATGAAATTATTAAATTTTGTATGATTCTGCAGGTGGTCTAAAATTGCTGCACATATTCCAGGCCGTACAGATAATGAAATAAAGAACAATTGGAATACAAGAATTAAGAAGAAACTAATTAAGAAGAAACTAAAGATTCTTGGTATAAACCCACAAACCCATAAGAGAATTGGGATTAAGAAGAAGCCTGAAACCGCTAAAGAAGAGTCAAAAGTTTGAAGGGATTATCAGATAGAAATGAATCTTGAGAAAAGAATTTGATTGCAGGATCCTGTTTTGGAACTCTTGTACTGATTAAATCTGAATCTTTTTGTTTCAAGAATTGGTACTGATAAATCTGAATCTTTTTGTTCAAGAATTGAAGAATCTGTCATCAAAGAAGAATCTCAGCAGAATTGGATTGATAATGTAGACTCTTTGCTTTCATGGGATGGCTTTAGTAATCTGGAAGAGATTTTTCCTTTTTGACAGTCATCAATTATGCTAAGATATTTGGATTGTAAATTTTTTTTTTTTTTTTTTTACTTTTTATTCGTGAAAATGTATAATTATTATTAATGTGATGAAAATTATTTTATAAATATCACGTAATATTTGCAATATAAATTCATGCAACACTATTTGTTTTTGTTTGAAAAGAGAGAGAGTTCTTCCCTTTCCAGAAGAAGAGTATTCAGCATTTCATATATTATGCTAATTAAAAGCAGTTTTTCGATTCAAATTAGGATATTTCTAAATACTTATTGAATGAAAAATAAAACAGTAATATTTTTTTTTTAATTCTTTATTGATTAGTTTGGTGTACGGATGCGGATCGAATGGAATCTAAACAAAGAATAATTTGTATTCTAAAATTATCCTCAGGAGAGGGTATCAGAAAAGCCTATTGGATTTATATCAATTTTTTTGGGTAAAATTCTATATAATTTTCGGAGATGGACCAGGATGGGCCTGGCCTAGTTACTGGCCCAATTAGGGTCAACATCAAGAACAGAGAGGAAGCGGATAGTACTTGAGCAAGGCTTATCTATAATTAGAAACAAAATTATTTCAGAAACAGCCAGAAGTTAAGGAATGAATTTCTGGAGAGTTCCAGAACGTTAAGGTCCTCTGCCACTCCCATTTTCTATACATCACAAAATGCTGTTTCCAGAAATGTCCACTCCTCTCTTTACATGTCACCAATTCCTTCTGTGTTTCTCCACCGATCAAGTAAAAGCTTGGAGTTCATTCCTTTAGAAAAATGTCTCAAGCTCTTTCCAATTTAACCTTTTCTCTTCCTTTATCATCAAAAAGCACTTCTGCTCGATCAAGAAACCTTCGTTTCATTGTCAAAGCAAAGGCAGCAGAAAATAGAGACAATCTTGATCATTTACAGAAAGCCACCAAGCAGCAGCACCAACAGAAGCCACAAGCAAAGCAGGCACCTATCAACACCCCCAAAAAACAAGACAAAAGAACGGCTCCCTGTTGCTCCAGGTTGCGTATGTAATTAAATTTAATTAATTTAGTAAAAAACAAAATTAATTGTTTCTCTCTTAATTGTCTACAATCTTAGTTGTAAAATGTGGGTTTTAAGATTTTGAGAAAAAATCTTTGAATTGCAGGGCTATGGGACAGAATTTCCTTACAGCTAGAACAGTACAAGCAGACAGAAAAATCTTGAATTGCAGGGCTATGGGACAGATTTCCTACAGCTAGAACAGTACAGCAGATGATGGAGACGATGGAGAGAATGATGGAAGACCCTTTTGCCTATACGGCTACTTGGCCATCAGAGCCACCATCACCAGTTGAACGAAGTGGGTATAGCAGAGGAAGGACTCCATGGGAGATAAAAGAAGGAGAAACAGAGTACAAGATGAGATTTGACATGCCTGGAATGACTAAAGAAGATGTGAAGGCAGAGAAGGTGCCCGAGAAAAATAATGTCAATGGTGCACAAAATGGAATAGAGGAAGAAGAAGAAGGAGGATGGTCTGCTAAGAGCTATGGGAAATATAGCTGCAGAATTGCATTACCTGAAAACATACAGTTTGAGAAAATAAAAGCTGAGGTTAAAGATGGAGTTTTGTATATAACCATTCCTAAAGCTTCTACCACTGGCAAGATTCTTGATATCAAAAAAGGGGGCCCCCCCAAAGTAATTTTTCTTTTCTGGATTAAATCAAAAAATTTGGGGGGGGTCAAAATGGATTTTTTTTAAAAAAAAATAAAAAAAATTTCACTGTCCTATATGAAGTTTATCTAATATGGACTACTTTTTTTTTTTTTTTTTTGGTCAGTGCTATGTAAGAAGCTTTGGGTGTTAAATTTTTTTTTTTTTTTTTTGGTCAGTGCTATGTAAGAAGCTTTGGGTGTAAAGAGAACCAAAACTTTCTGGATAAAAATATTCTGATTATGGAATTGCATCCTGGAGTAGACGATATTTTAATTGTCATTCAAAGAAAACTTATATATAAAAAAAAAAAAATAACTACCACCGTAAAATCACCTAATGAAATAAAGTAACATCTGAGAGTTTTCTTTTTTCTAACTTATTTTGTACGAATTCTCTCGCGTTTTCAGCGATTGATGTTGACTTTTGAAATATGCTTGATCTTGTAACTCTCTTCACCCAATAATCGCCTTTCAAGTTCCATATGTGTATCATACAAATTCAACACCTGAAGACTAGAAATATTCTGTAAGCCTTCTGGAAGAAACCTCAACTTTGGACAAGACCAAAATTCAAGCTCCCTTAAACTAAGAAAAGCTCCACGGGCTATCTCTGTCCACTCCACTAGGATATCCTCATCAGAGAAAGTAAGTTTTTCAAGCTTTGGAAACCCACCTGCGTCACAGAACTCTTTACCGATGCAGCGTACTTTATAAGCACCATCTATATGAAGAACCTTTAATTTGGGAAGAAATTGAAGTGTAGGGGCTGGGGGCTCTAATAGATTGGAATTATTTAAATGTAACACAGTGAGGTTTTCCATGGAGGCAAGCCAAGCAGGCATTTCAACAAGGGCACCACATAAACTCAGATGTTTAATAGAAGATGGAGGGGAAAATGATTCCAAATCTAGAACAGATGAATGAAAGGAGTCCCATTCATCTGCTTGGAGTGACAAGGAGACAAGATTTTCCATCTTCGTGATGGCTGCAAATAGTTGGGTGGAATTATCTTCAGACACAGAGAAAACACTGAGTTGTTGCAGTTGGGTTAACGAGCTTAGTTCACTGGCAGTGACGCCTCCAGCATATACGTCACCTAAAGTAAGAAGACTTTTCAATGTTCCAATTCCACTTGGAACTCTAATTCCCTCTTCAGAGTTGTCTATATCCAAAGTTTGTAGGTTTTGAAGGTTGCCTAATGTCTGTGGAAGTTCATCCATTTCTAAAGAACTCAACCTCAAATATCTCAGGTTAAACAAGTCACCCACTTCGTCAGGTAATCCCTCCCCAAGGTCGCCATCCAAACTTAACACCAATAAATATTGCAACTTGCAAATAGTTTCCATATAGGCCCGAGAAAATCCAAATAGTGAATCCAAAAATAGAGAACGAATTTGAAGGGTTTTGAAATCAGGAGGAGGAATATTGTTCCCGTAATGATGTATTATAGCTCGTACAGGTAAATTCGCAGCTTCAGCCAAAAATTCCACTTCATCCACCTCGACAACGCATAAATTTACATATGATTCATTAAAGTCAATATCAGGCCCATCATGTGACTCTGTGTATGTTTCTATCAGCAGTCCTAGATGAATTAACTCGTCGATAACGTTATTTGCTAGATTATCTATGAGTTCCCCTTCTTTCTCTGGTATCAGATCTTCAGCTGATAAAAGCCGAGCCATGCCAATATCAGCTCTTCGTAAGAAGAAAATTGATATTCCTCTAAGAACGATAGCGACTAATAGTAATAGTCTAAGCAGGACATGAGATAATGAGGAAGACTTTGATATATTGAAACGAAATCAGCTGAAGAAGAAGAACAACTCTCACCTATTTCGTTTAGTGCTGTAGAAGATAAGCTATCCTTTCTTCTTTGCATCTCCGCAAAATACATTTCTTGTCGATCACTCGATTCACGAGTGAAGCAGATCTGAGGCATATTTTTGGATGCGTGAAGGAACTGAGATCTGAAAACCTAGAAAAAGAAAAGATAAGGTAAAATAATTATTTTATCTGGAGATTTTCAACTAATCAACACCAGCTCCAGAGAGAAAAGATGCTTGATGCTTTTTCAATTGTCACTTTAAGAGAAGCTTTAAGGGTAACAAGAATTTCTTCAGAGATCCACCATCAAATTCAAAGGGTAAAGAAAGAAAAGGATAATAAAGGAAAAAAAAAGGACAAAGAGTCTACAAAATGAGCGGTGACCCTATAATTTTAACTGTTCAACATCAATTTAGCCAAAATTTAGAAAAATGTGTGTTTTTTTACTTTAATCTTGTCTTTTTACTTTAAAATTAATGGAAAATGTATGTTTTTTTTGTATCAGGGAGGCAAATCTCAGGGATATTTAAAATATTTTGACAAAGGACTACACTATTTAGATAATTATGGTAAAACTCAGGGATGAAATAATTATTTTTCCAAAAGATAACACTTTTCGAAGTCAGCAGATAGAGTCAATGCTTCCAAAAATTTTGAGAGGAAGGACTTATCTACTTAGGAAAAAATTTTGGTAGATGCAACTGCTTGTTCTGACCTTGTCTATGTTGATTTCTTACCAACTTAAATTTAAATGGTGGAAAATTAAATTCTCGTAGAAAAAAAGGAAATTTTAAATAATACAATATTTATTGTTCAACGGAAAACATTTATTGTCATTCCAATACAATATTCAACTTTCCTGTAATATTTTTTTTCAAATTTTACATTTCTAAAAAATAATTTTCCATCAAAAAATTGAATTTCAGTAACTAAATCCTACGTAATTGCTGAATTTTCATTTTTTTCCCAGATAAAATAGATTTTCTTTTTTAATGGATTGAGATAAATCACACATCTTCTTGAATTTTCAATATTTGTAAAACCTTTTTTTCCTAATATAGATGGTCTTTTAGTTTGACTTCTAATTTAGTTAAATTTATCTTTTAAGTTAAAAGTTATAAGTAAAATAGTGTTTGATTCAAAATCCAATAGAACCAGAACGTTGGTTGTGTCCAAATATAACTTAAGGTTTTAATGATCCGGTATCCATAGCTCATTGGCTCGACCAGTTTGAATTTACATTAGGCAGACATATAAAAGGGGAAAAAACACTTTTTCTAAGCTTTGAAAGTCTTCACGTTTAGAGTTCACTTTCTCCGAGCGTTGAAAGGGATTTCATATTTAGAGTTCGAATTCGGGATATCTAATTAAAAAAAAAAAAAAAAATTTATGTCATCTCATCTCACCCATATTTAGTTAAATTTCATATTTAGCATGGCCTTAATGTCCACACAAATAACAAAATTAAGAGCGCAATCATTAAAAAAAGAAAAGAGAAGAAAATATTGCTTCCTGAAGAAGGTATAAATTATTTTATATGAAAAAATTTAAAAAAGAATTTATTAATAGGATAAAAAGTTTACATATTAAATTAATATTTTGAATATAAAAGATAAAAGGTATATATAAAAAAACCATTATCAGTATAAAGAACCATGCAATATTACTTTCAATTGTGATTTAGTTAGTCTTTCTATATTTTGTAAAAGACGTGAAAAATGCAATGTTCCGAATTCAAGTATTTTTTATTATAAAATTACCATTAATTTAGTAAAAGTCATTGAAAAGAGAAAATTATATTTATTGTGTAGCCCACAATATTATTCCGTTTACACATTCCATGTTATAACTAAGAGAATAGGTCAGCCATGGAATTAAAGATGTCACTCATCTAAAGTAATAAAGCTAAGTGGCAATTTATACCTTTGGCAAAACATGTTGTAGGTGTTAGTTTTTGAGAATAGTGGTCTACGTGGCAATATAATATTATAAGATATGCCTGTCCTTTCACTTTTTAAGTTGGTGCTCTCTGTTCCTATACTAGTGGGTGGGTAGAATAAAATTCTCTCTTGTTCTTTTTTATACGTCATAATCAGTTAAAATGAGAAGAAATTGTGAGAATTGGACGGTATTTTTAATTCAGGATCGTGACTATTATATAACGTGGTAAACACTCTAATATTCGATTATAAGCCGAATGACATTATCTTACACTTTGTTTGGGAGAATGGAATAGGTTTGAAGAAAGAAAGGAAACAAGGAGAGCAGAAAGGAAGTATTTCTCTCTTGAAGGAAGAGAAAAGGAAAGAAGTGTTTTGTACATTAGATATGAATGACATTGCAAGATTCAAAGCTAACTAGCATATTTTTGTACATATTATTTTATTTTTGAAAATTAAAATAGCCCTTCAATTCAACAAACATCTTCCTAGAAAAGAAAGAAAGAACAAAGAAATATTTTAAAAAACCAAAACTCCAAAAGCAAACACTATCAATTTTCTTTTCTAACGAATAATAATCCATACAAAACTTTATTTCTTGATCAACACAGACTAGCTTTAATCTAAGTCTTCTCCTATTCATCTTATAATGTACGCTTTGACTGCATAATATTTATTTATTATTATTTTTTTAAAGCAAGCATTATAGCAACAGGTTTTTTAACCTTGGGCTTCAACCCCTTTCAGAAATTTCTCTACAATGATATTGAAATTGTTCTTTTTTTTTCCCCAACGCATATGCAAAATCTGCTTCTGAACACCATATATTTACATGCATAACCAAAAAAAAAGTCAAAAACAAAAAAACTAACTAATGAAAAGCAACAAAAAATAGAAAACACATCCCTAAAATATAAACAACGATAAGAAGCAAAATACAAATTATTAAATTAAATATTAAATATTAATTCTTCCAAATACACGGAATGTAAGTAAATATCACTGGATCTTTTATATACATTGGGCCATTATTCTACATTTGGAATACCATAAGCTTCATTTAAAAAGAAAAATTGGGAATGCTTCAAAAACTGCAATTCATGCCTCCTAATTGAAATTTCAATTTTCCTCAGGTTTTTTATATTATATATAAAAAGAAATGTGTCTTTTTTTTTTTATTATTTTGCTTTAATTTTTCTTTATTGGTTGAATGAATTGAGTTGGAGGGGTCTCCAATCCATATCAACAAGCTTTGAAAATTTTGGAAGATGCAACTGCTTGTTGTGAGCTTGTGTACGTTGATTCCTTACCAACTTCAACTTGTGCAAACTACAAATGAAATATTAATATTTTTCTTTCAGGTTTTTCCACTTATTTTAGGCTAAGTTCGGACGTATTTAGAAGCCTATTAATTTGGGTTTGTTGCTTAGATAAGTTAAATTTTTCCTAATTGAATTAAATAAATTAAGGCCTAAATATATTTAAATAAATTAATTAATTTCAAGGTGCACAAATTTGTTTTTCCGACGGCTAAGATATGGGCCACGCATATGCAGTTTTTGTTGATGAGGTAGAGCAGATCAGAATGAGTATCCAAAAAGGAAAATGCAAAACATAAGACTTTTGGAGGCCAATATACTTAGAATAAAGCCACCAGAAAAATTGAGAAGAGAATTTCCACAAATTGCGTAATGTAATGATCTCATTATCAACAACATTTGTAAGATGATTCTTTATAATGTAGAAAAATTGAGAAGAGAATTTCCACAAATTGCGTAATGTAATGATCTCATTATCAACAACATTTGTAAGATGATTCTTTATAATGTATTTGGCTGCATTTCTAGTGCACATGCATTACAAATTAGATGAGAACTTTTAAGCATCTTAGGAGAAATTTGGCCATTCACATTTGGATTCCTATAGGAATATTTCCAGAAGATTACTCTTTTTTTTCTTTTTCTTCCTTTTTTGATACAATCACATAAACCTCTAGACTGTTGAATTAGGATTAAAATTTGCACGTGCCAGGTCGGTCCATTAAAAATGAAGTGCTCCCAGTAAATATTTTGCTCTATCTATGAGGATCGAATTCTTAACATCGTTTGAACCTCCAAGCTCACTTAAAGAAGAAAATTCAATATTTTACTTTTTATGGTTGCAGTATGGTTTTTGTTTGATAAATGAAAATATAGTCATTTTTTCTTATTGTTTTATTAGAATCTACTAATACAAAATTAACCACAATAATCACTGAGCTATTAGTCTAATGACTTACTTTTGTTGTAGACATAAAATAAGTAATTCACAATATTTATAATGAAATTAGCATCATTAAAAATAAAATGTATATGTATTTTTTTATTTACTTTCTCATATTATTATTGGTAAGAAAATCTTGTAAGAATATTTACTATTGAGGTGATCAATTTAGAGGAAAAAACTTGCCAAACAAAGGGCAAAACAAATTGGCAAGTTTAGCCTAATCTCGACAAAAAATTTATGAACACATAAATTTAGCTTGGGCCCATCCTTTACTGATAAAAAAATAAATTGAATTTACTGATAAAAAAATGATATATTGGTAATTAAATTGATATTATCTTAATTTTTTGCTAAGATTATATTATTATCATTATCATCATCATATATCATGGTTAGCCGTAAAATTTGCAATGCCTTTTAAAATATAAAAGTTTAAAAATTAGAAAATGGAAGGGAAATTTAAATTTAGATCTATTGCCAGGTTGTATATGCATTACCACTAGGCTATGTCTTGACATGTAGAAAGTGTTTTTATGTATACTGAAAGTAATTTCTCGTTTTAAATGGTGGAAAATTAAATTCTCGTAGAAAAAAAGGAAATTTTAAATAATACAATATTTATTGTTCAACGGAAAACTTTTATTGTCATTCCAATACAATATTTAACTTTCCTATAATATTTTTTTTTTCAAATTTTACCTTTCTAAAAAAATAAGTTTCCATAAAAAAAATTGAATTTCAGTAACTAAACCCTACGTAATTGCTGAATTTTCAATTTTTTTCCCAGATAAAATAAATTTTCTTTTTTAATGGATTGAAATAAATCACACATCTTCATGAATTTTCAATATTTATAAAACCTTTTTTCCTAATATAGATTTGGTTTGACTTATTTATAAAACCTTTTTTCCTAATATAGATTTGGTTTGACTTCTAATTTAGTTAAATTTATCTTTTAAGTTAAAAGTTATAAGTAAATTAGTGTTTGATTTAAAATCCAATAGAACCAAAAAGTTGGTGGTGTCCAAATATGACCCGAGGTTTTAATTTTCAACAATGTTTTGTTTTTTTATGATTCGGTATCCATAGCTCATTGACTCGATTAGTTTGAATTCACATTAGGCAGATATATAAAAGGAGTTCGAATTCAAAATATCTGATTAAAATAAAAAGAATCTATACTATCTCATCTC